CACACCTTTCACCCTTTGTGACCGAGAGGGAAGGAGATTACGTCCCACCTGAGAAACTGAAGCTGCTGGCTCTGCAGCGGGGAGAAGACCCAGGTGAGCAGGATGGGACTGGGCTGGCCTTGGCCCCTGGGCCCACACTGGCTGTTTCTCTTGGCTGCCAAGGTGGAAAGCTCCAGGGAACAGGCAGTAGGAGCAGAAAGCCCTTTGAAGCCACCTGTGAAGTAAGGCTTCAGAGAAGGGACATCTGCCTCCTGGGGTCAGATGTTATTTGACGTTCAGGATAACTGAGCAGAAGAACGTGCTGCGTTGTCATCAGAGTTTACATTGGAGGCAACAGAGGGGGCCTTGGAATTTCCTCTGATGGCAGCTGGGCTGTGGGGAGGTGCCAGAGAGGGCCACAATTGGGACAGCCCTGAACTGCCCATGGCTAAAGACAGCAGGGTCAGAGAGGATGGGGCCTGGGCCTGTTGTCATCCTGCCAAAGAGACAGCAGGTTCCCACGGCATTCAGAGGTCATTGGCTGTCTCTAGGAAACCTGAATGAGTCAGAAGAGGAGGAGGAAGAGGACGACGACAACGAAGGTGATGGTGATGAAGAGGGAAAAGAGGAGGAGGAGGAGGAGGAAGATGCAGAGGCTGGTTCAGAAAAGGAGGAAGACGCCCGGCTGGCAGCCCTGGAGGAGCAGAGGATGGAGGGGAAGGTAGGGGGAGCTGTACTGCGAGCTCAGCCTGGGAAGCAGCCCTGCTTGGTGCCTGCCCTGGCCTAGAAGGGCAGGAGCCAGAGACTGTGGAGTTCGGGGGAACCTGCCCCCACAAGCACCCTCCTTGTGTCCCCAGAAGCCCAGGGTGATGGCAGGCACCTTGAAACTGGAGGATAAACAGCGGCTGGCCCAGGAGGAGGAGAGTGAGGCCAAGCGCCTGGCCATTATGATGATGAAGAAGCGGGAGAAGTACCTGTACCAGAAGATCATGTTTGGCAAGAGGCGAAAAATCCGAGAGGTGAGTTCCTGCTACCCAGTTGAGACCCAAGTGTGGCTACCAGGCCCAACTGCACAGGTGAACGTATGTGGCCTGGGGCCCTCCTCTAGGCAGACTGAGGCTCTCCTAGCCTTTTCCTGAGGTTGCCTGCCTGGCCCAGCCTAGCCTTTGGGGCCCCCGACCCAGGCCAGTGTAGGCATCTTTGGTACTGCCAGCTCCGGCCTGGGCTTTCCTTAGGGCTTCTGTCCCACCCTGCATCCAGCTTCCTGAGTCTGCTGGGGTCTGCGAACAGAGCCTTCCTGGTGCACTCAGGGACTGTGGGGGACTTTTGTTAAACTTCTATCTGTTTTGTATTTTCTTGTTCATAAAGCCATATATGCTAATGAAAAATACAAACTCATGCACCCTGGAACCCTGCGATGAGTGATGCAGAAGTGGCTTACAGCCCTGCCCGTGGAGTAGAGCAGCCTGTAATAACAGCCCCCAGGTTTCTCTTGTGCCCATGATGACCCATCTTTGGGAGGTCATGCTATAGATTGTTTTGAGGTATAATTTGTTTTTTGAGACAGAGTCTTCCTCATCACCCAGGCTAGAGTGCAGTGGAGCGTTGGGATTAGAGGCATGAGCCACTGTACCCAGCCTGAGGTGTAATTTTCATTTAACCGTAATTTGGACTTCTCATCCAATACCTGGCCTGTCCCCTGTGGTGGGATTCAATTGTTCTCCAGTTTCAGTCATTCTCAGAAAACATCCCTGAGCATGTGTCTGCCCTCCTCTGAATGATTCTGCAGGCTAAATTCTTAGAAGCATAATTATTGCAGTTTTGAAATCGTTATTGTCAAATGGGGCTCGGCGTGGTGGCTCACGCCTGTAATCCCAGCACTCTGGGATACCAAGACAGGAGGATCAGTTCAGGCCAGGAGTTCAAGACCAGCCTTGGCAACATATTGAGACCCTGTCTCCACCAAAAAAAAAAAAAAGAGGCTACGCATGGTGGTGCACGTCAGTAGTCAATCTCAGCTACTCTGGAGGCTGAAGTGGGAGGATTGTTTGAGCCTAGTAGTTTGAGGCTGCAGTGAGCTATGATCATGCCACTGCGCTGCAGGCTGCGCAACAGAGAAAGACCCTGTCTCTTTAAAAAAAAAAATTAAAAATATATTGTCAGGTGACCCAAGAAAGAAGGTTCTTCCTGTTGTACCCCTTTCTACCAGCTCCTGGTGAAGGTGCCAGTGGTGTCTGCTTTCCAGGCGGAGTAGGGAAATGGGACTGTTGCCAAGGCTCCTTCCAGCTCTGGGAGTTTAGGATTCTCTTATCTCGAGATTTGTGGGTGCGTGAAATAATGTCGTTAAAGCAAGGCGAGGGCATGTTTTCTCACCGTGAAGTGGGTCAGGTAGATCTTTTTCCTGTGGGAATTTGTGACCTTTTCTGGAAGGTTTGCTTTTAAGGGATATGGCTTTGAGTTCGGTGCCCCACACCCTCCCCTCTCCACACATCTCAGCCTGACCTTCGCCTTCCCCCTCACAGGCCAACAAGCTGGCGGAGAAGCGGAAAGCCCACGATGAGGCGATGAGGTCTGAGAAGAAGGCCAAGAAAGCAAGGCCGGAGTGAGTGCCTGCGGCCCCTCACAGGGCTGAGACCAGCTCCTAGCAGCTGGATGTGGCAGAGGCAGGCCAGAGGACCTAAGTGTGATGGACCAGAGTCGCTTCTCTTCTCCTCCTCCTTTCTCCAGCCAGCCCTGACCCCTCATGCTCTCTGGCTGGGCTGGTGGGCAGCCCTGGCCTCCCTTGAATGGAGCTGCCCTGCTGGTGCCTAGGCAGAGAAGAGGCATCTGTGCCCAGCCTGATTTTCTGCTTCCAGGAGCCAGTGACATGAGGTGCAGGGGCCCACCCAGCCCCCTGCCTACTGCCCCCACTCATCCTGGCTTTCCACAGCCCCCTCCCACACAGTTGGACCCGTGATTCTCAGGGTGCTGTGATGGGGTGAGGGTGGGGGGGGGCATTTTTATTAAATGACTGGACTTTTGCGCCAATTGCATTCCGTGTCCACGAGCCTTCCTAGGGTTGGAGGAGGCCCACCTAGCACTCTGCTGCAGGCTGGGCCAGCCCTGGGCACCTCTTAGAGCTCTCTGGACCAGGTCCAGGGATGCCAGAAGGTAGACACAGAGGTTCTGGGTCTGGGCTTCACAGCCTGTCTGGCCTTGGTTCACATTCTAACCCAGGCACTTTCCCTCTGCACCTGCTTCCTCATGTGTCAGTTACCGGTAGAAATTCTGTTCTTTGAAAGGGATGTGTTGAGGGTTCTGTGATCACTTTATAGGCTCAGACCTTACAGACTCAGTAATGTCAGGTGTGTAGTAAGTACTTGGTAAACACCAACTGATTTACATCACTTCCTGCTGGAGTCGGCCCAGAAGGTAAAAGCCAGATCCGGAAGGATCTGTGGGCCCGCGGTGAGGTCCTGCCCTCAGCTTGCCTTGTGGGCATGTTGGCAGAACCGCTGAGTACCTCCCAGCGTAGGATTCCACGGCAGCTCCACTTACGGTCTGTGAGGCCTGCCTGACAGCTTCCCAACTGACCTTGGCAGTGTCCCTGCTGACGCCCATTGGGATATGCCTTTGCTTGGAACCACCAGTGCATCATGACAGAGCCAGAACTATAACCTGGGGCTCTCGGTGCTCACTCTGAGCCCCTCCCAGGACTCACTCCCCGGGGTGAGTGCTGTCGAGGACTGGGGCCAGGCTGAGGAAGGGTGGGTTTGGAATGGCTTTACTTTCCCTGAATCCAGGCACCTGAGGGCCTTGCCCTCTGCCTCTCACTGTTTGCTGGCTGTGTGGGCAGAGAATGTTTTTGTGGCAGTGGATGTAGGTCCAGCCTGTGAAGGGGGAAAGCAAGAGCTTGGGCAGGCTCTGGCCTGGGGAGCAGAAAACCTAGGGCTCCCCTTCTCAGCTGGGACTGACTGTGGGTGGGAGGAGAGGGCTGTGTGCCATTCCCAGTCTGTCATGCACATGGCGATGGGAGGGAGTGGGGTTGCCTCCAGAGGCAGGAACAGAGGGTCAGGACCTCTGGAGCCAAAACCTGCAGCCCCGGGGGACAACTCAGGCCTGTCTGGGGGCCTGTGCATCCAGGGCCACACAGCTAGAGCGCAGGCCCATCAGATACGGAAAAATTCCTGGCAGTCATGCTGATGTGGAATTTTCCCCATTCCAGAATCTCCCAGTAATGGCGGGGGCAGTGGGGCTCTGACGCGTCCCAGGCCCCACTGGGTGGCCAGCTGGTTCCTTACTGCCCACAGCTGGGCTGAGGATTCCAGGCAGGCAGGCATTGGTCCTCATCCATGATCTTGCTCCTCTCAGGTGAAGAAGGAAAGGCCAAGCTTGGAAAATGAGACAGGGCCTGTATGGGACACCTGCCTCCTGATTGCCCTGCTCAGCCCTCATTGGCACCCTAGAGAGTGACAGCTGAGACCTCCAGGTGGCAGGACCAGTTGGAGCTCAGTCTCTTGCTTGAGCGCCCCCCACTCCCATGAGTGCCAAAAATGTGTTGTCCCCAGTTGGCACTGACTAGAGCAAGAAGCCATATGATCCATTGGATCCTGAGGGCCCCAGGACCCCCCAACCAAAGTTAAGCAATAGTCCTGCCGCCGCCTTTTTCCCAGAGCCCTGGTTCCCCTCCCCACCACCACCAAGCCTGGGCATCCTCAAGTCTTCTGGGCTGAGGGCTCCGTTGAGCCAGAGGGCCGGCGGCGGGACAATGGCCCCGTTGGCGCGTCCGAGACAAACGGGCCTTGTTGGGCCGGCAGCGGGGGCGCAGCGATGCGCCCCAGCGCGCTGAATGCGGCTTCTGTGCGTCTCGGGCGGGCGCAGAGGGGCCGGGACGGGGCGGGGAGGGGGCCGGCCCGGTGCGGGGAGGGGTCTGGGGTCCGGGGCGTCCATTGGCCCTGGCGCCGGAGGCCGGGCCAGGCTGGCGGCCGCACCTGGCCGGGAGCGGGCGCGGTGCGGCAGCGGCGGCGGGGGCGGGGGCATGGACCAGGCCTGGTGGAGCGGGGCGCCCGGCCGGGTGCGCCCCGCCGCCCAGTGAGCGCCCGGGCGGCGCGGCCCGGGCCGAGCCACCCACGCTGAGGCGGAGGAGGACGGGGACAAGGTACGTCTTGGGCTCTAGCACCCACTGCCAGCTTGAGCCCTGCCTCACTCTACTCCCTGGGGATACCGCCCACTTTACCCTAACCCCCAAACTGGGACCGCGCGCCGGAGGAGGGGAATAGGAGTGCAGCACCGCTGCTCTAGACGCTGGGTACCCCTGCCCACTGCCAGTGGGTGGCCCGGTGGGGGCCAGGGAGGGCGCAGGTTGGTGCCCTCCATGCCCTTGGTTTTTTCCCCTGCCCCCTAACCCCCCTTCCAGGGCTTCTCAGTCCCTGAAGGTGGGATGGGTGGGGCAGAAGGCAGGCTGCTGGGGCTGGGCTGGAGCTGGGAGTGCGTTAATGATTAATATTGGACACAGTGGCCAGAGCCCTAGGGGAGGAGGGGCAGGGATCTCTCCTGTCTCCATCAGCCCTTCCCAGAAAGGGGGTCAGAGCAGGAGCCGGAGACCATAGTAAGGGATGGATCCCCTCTGCTGGGGGAAGGCCCTGACCTGTACCCCAGAGGAAGCAAAGCCACCAAAGAGAGGTTTGGGAGGGTAGGACAAACCCTGGCATCCAGGAGGGGTCCTATAGGAAATCCCACAGTTCCTCTTTCCTAGCCCAGTGCCCAGGAAGGGGGTCCAGCTTGGTCTGCCCTGTTGGTGCCAGGCCAGCATTTTGGTACCAGCACAGAGCACACTACAGACCGAGCCCTTCCCAGTGGGAACTGCCCTGCTCAGCTGCCCAGAGCCAGAGAGGTGATGGGCACGTCTGGCTGCTGTAACCCACACCAGTGGGAAGGAAAGGGAGAGAGGGCAGCAGGCTTGACACCTGATCCCTGGGCTGCTGCAGTGACAGGTGACAGGTGCCATGAGAATCCTTCAGAGGGCAGAGAGGTGTGGAGGACTGTCCATTCCAGTTGAGAAAATCCAACCTCTTCCTTTACTGACGGGGTGACCTGAGACCCAGAGAGAGTGAGGCTTGTCCAGGGCCACACAGGGGGCACAGGAGGGCAGTCCTGGACCAGAGCAGTCACTGTGTACGCACTGTTCCTTGTCCTGTGAAGGAGGCATTACTACCTATCCCCATTATCCAGAGGGGGATACTGAGGCTCAGGGAGATTCAGTGACTTGTCCAAGGTCACATGGCTCAGAGGTAGCTGAGCTGACTCCAAATCACAGGAGTCTTGCCCTGGCCCCCATTTCAGGATCCCAGCCCAACCCATGACCTCTCTCTGCTCCTTTGGGGTCCTGCCTTCTTGGATCTGCCTGGGCTGCCCCAAACCCTCAGCTCTGGACCCCTCCCCCTCGCCTCCCTGGCTCCCAGCTCCGCCTGACACTTCAGCGGGTGAGCAGGCTGCTACCCAGGGAGCAGAGACAACGAAGCCCTGTTCCCAGCTGCCACCTCAGCCTGCTTTATTCCCTGCTTGCTCAGGCAGAGCCCTTCCTGAAGGAAGCTCCCTGTGGACAGAGAACGCCTGGTCCCCATGCATCCCCTTCCCTTAATGGGTCTGATGCCCTCTTGTCACCCAGCAAGGGAGGAGTGTGTCCCCAACAGCCCCTCCCACTGGGTTCTGAGGGACTGGGTGTGCCACCCAGTGAAAGAGGCAATGATTAACCTGAGAGAATGATGCACAAATGGAATTCTGGGCCTGGCTGCAGGCTCCTAAAGGGCTCCTTGCTTCACTTTGACTGGGTGAGGAATATGGATGAGCCCTTTTAGGGGCTCCACATGACTCCAAACAGGGCAGAGCAGGATGGAGCACAGGTGCCCATGGGGGTCATCAGGCTGGGGACTGCTGGAATCTCCAGGTGAGGGGCGATGGTGGGAGAAAATGGGGGCCCAGAGGATGCCTGCATTCCCCCCTGCTAGTTCCGGCTCCTTGGATGGGGATAGTGTCCTTCTAGAAGTCTGAACAGACAGAGCCTGCTTCCCCTACCAGGTCGGAGCTAGGAGGATCACAATACAATCAGAGGAGCTAACGCTAAGTGTGTGAAGGGCTCTGCGTGCCTCACAGCAGGCCTGTGAAAGTGTCATAGTACCTGCCAGTTTTTAGGAAACCAAGGCTCAGAGAGGGGAAGTCACTTGCCCAAGGTCGCCCAGCTGCGGGGTGGTGGAGTCAGCATTTGTTACCAGGGGAGTTTCCAGGAGTGGAGAGGTGGGTGTAGGTATCTCCAGCATTGTGCATTGCAAGTGTCAGTACCTTTTCACAACCTTTATATTGTTACATAGTTTTAGGCAAATAAGCGCATAACAATCCTTAACAAATATTTCAGGCATGTTATAAGGTACAGAGACTGATACTATCAACTCCTACATACTCAGCTCTGGTGTTCTCAGCATTTTTGGAGCCAATGACAAAGTGATTGACTTCTCGGTGAAGCTGTGACTTGCAACTCCCCAGTTAGCGCTTCTTTAAGGCTACTCAAATCTCCCCTCAGGAAGCCAGGTGATTTACCCAGACAAGGCAACGGAGCAGGAAGAGCTGTGGCCTTGCTCCTCATTTTGGCTTTGCTGCGTAGGACTTCTACAAGTTACTGAGCCTTAGTTTCCCCACACATCACATGGGGCTAGCAGAGGAGACTGGGAGTGTCTGTCAAGGTCACAGGCGTGGATGCCCTTTGTTTTTTGTGTTTTTGAGACGGAGTCTTGCTCTGTCGCTCAGGCTAGAGTGCAGAGGCGCCATCTCGTCTCACTGCAAGCTCTGCCTCCTGGGTTCATGCCATTCTCCTGCCTCAGCCTCCCGAGTAGCTGGGACTACAGGCACCCTCCACCATGCCTGGCTAATTGTTTTGTATTTTTAGTAGAGACGGGGTTTCACCATGTTAGCCAGGATGGTCTCGATCTCCTGACCTCATGATCCGCCCGCCTCGGCCTCCCAAAGTGCTGGGATTACAGGCGTGAGCCACTGCGCCCGGCCGTGGATGCCCTTTGAAACAGCAGAGAGGTGACCCTGCAAGATCAATAAGTGCTTTCTGAATCATCAAAGAACATTAGCCTCTCTCAGCTGCCGGGCCGGCTACCACCTACATCCACCCCTGCAGCCTAGGGAGCAGCAGGGCTCAGATGTCAGGGCTGACATTTTGGAAGTGGTCCTCCGAGCCAGCGAGCTGGGATCCAGCTGAAATGCTCCAATGGGTGGTCTTCCGCCTCTCTGCTCCAGCACCCCATTCTAGAGGGGCTCAGATTGAGGAAGCTTCTGGATGCTTGCACGTCACTTCCCCAGTACCCCTGGATGGAGCATTAACCTATCCCATCTGCCCCTTCTGCTGTGCCACCCACACTTCCCAGCTCCTTCTCGGTCCCAGGCCCCTATTGCCCCTTCCGCACTTGGTGCACCGAGGTTCAGAGAGGGCAGAGTGTCTGCCTCAGCCACACGGTGAGGAGAAGTGGGGCTCATCTTCCTCCAGGCGGGCTGCAGATTTTCAAAGTGGAAATATCTTTATTTATCTTTCCAAAGTAATATAAGCTCTTTTGTAAAGAGTGTGCACGTGTGTGTGTGTGTGATCACAGAATCAAAATATGTTCCAGAAAGTATATGGGCTTACTCCCCAGGGAACTACAATTTATAACTGGGTATCTTTTCAGACCCTTATACACATGTACGAATGTACAGCTTTTCTCTACATGAATAAGTTTATTCCATATACAGTGCTTTCCGGGCTTAATATTAGGCAACTCTTTTTTTTTTTTTTTTTTTTTTTTTTTGAGACGGAGTTTTGCTCTTGTTGCCCAGGCTGGAGTGCAATGGCGTGATATTGGCTCACTGAAACCTCCGCCTCCTGGGTTCAAACGATTCTCCTGCCTCAGCCTGGGATTAAAGGCATGCACCACCACGCTGAGCTAATTTTTGTATTTTTAGTAGAGATGGGGTTTATCCATGTTTGTCAAGCTGGTCTCAAACTCCCGACCTCAGGTGATCCACCCGCCTTGGCCTCCCAAAGTGCTGGGATTACAGGTGTTAGCCACCGCACCCAGCCAGGCAACTCTTTTTTAACCTCCCTGAGCCTCAGTTTCCTCATCTTCTAAATGGGGGTAAAGGCTCTGTGAGCACTGGAGAAAATTATACTGCAGTGGCCACTTTTATATGCCCATCTCAGATTGATTGTTAGATTATCTTTGAACCATATTCCTGCAGGTGGATTGCTGGGTCTGAGAACAGCCACACTCAGAACTGTAATAGCAGCTGTCAAATCTGCACTACGAACACCATAAGGAGAGTTGTTTTGCTCCACTCTTAAAAGCTCCTTCCATATCCCCATGGGATTCCCCTCCAGCTACAGAAAGCAGCCCTGGGATACCCTCACCCCACCACCTTCTCGGCCAGAGCCCTGTTCCTGTATGTGCATATGAGCAAACAGCACGGATGTGCCTCAGTTGGTGAATGGCTTTTGTTTCTTGGGGTTTTTTTTTTTAAGATGAAGTCTCGCTCTGTTGCCCAGGCTTGGAGTGCAGTGGTACGTTCATACCTCACTGTAACCTCAAACTCCTGGGTTCGCGGGGTCCTCTTGCCTCAGCCTCCTGAGTAACTGGGGCTACAGGTGTGCACCACCACACTGGGCTCATTTTTAAATTTTTTACACAGACAGGGTCTCACTATGTTGCCCAGGCTGGTCTCAAGCTCCTGGGCTCAAGCAATCTCCCTGTCTTGGCCTCCCCAAAATGCTGGATGGCGCATGCCACCATGCCCAGCTGGGGAATGGTTTATGGGGGAATAGCAGTGCTGCAGACTCTGATACAGCCCTAGCTGCCCTCTTTTATCTCGTTAGGGAGCTCTTCTTCACCCTGCTCTGTAAGTACAGGCTCCCTGTCCTTCCTCACCCTTCCTTTGTTGACTCTAGTTACTCCTATGGCCTCAATTCCCACTTCTGTGCCCAGCTCCCCACCTACCTCTTCCCCTCCCCCAAGACCCCACTCTTTGCTCCTACAGATCTTTAGACATTCTATGATCATGCCAAGCATCCCTCAGACTCAGTGTGTTCTAAACAGAACCTGACACCACGTGCTTCACCCCAGCATTCAACCTGGCCCTCTCAGCCTCCCCGACTCAGGGACTAGTTCCACCTCCAGCCAGCAGTCACCCAACAGCAACTCTTCCCTCCCCTCCTCCACACCCTGCCGCCAACAGAATGCTGCCTTTGCATGGTCTCCAGACAGCTCTGGTACTTCCCCAGCCTTCTCCTTGTTCCACGTCACACCTGCACAGCTGTAACAACTACTGTGGAGGTCAGCCTGCTCCTCCCTCTCCTTCCCCATCCCTACAGTTCATTTCTTACCCAGTAGCCCATAGGAATCCCATCTGCTCACTCCTCTGCTGAAGACCCTCCCATGGGTCTTTCCCTGCAGCCCACAGGATCCAGGCAAGATGCAGTAGCATGCTTCCTGAAAGCCCTGCAGCCCTGCATGTCCTTCTTTTTTTTTTTTTTTTTTTTTTTTGAGATGGAGTCTCACTCTGTCGCCCAGGCTGGAGTGCAGTGGCATGATCTCTGCTCACTGCAACCTCCGCCTCCCAGGTTCAAGCGATTCTCCTGCCTCAGCCTCCGGAGTAACTGGGATTACAGCCTCCTGAGTAACTGGGATTAGGCGCCCGCCATCACACCCGGCTAATTTTTGGTACAGACAGGGTTTCACCACGTTGGCCAGGCTGGTCTCGGACTCCTTACCGCAGGTGATCTGCCCGCCTCGGCCTCCCAAAGTGTTGGGATTATAGGCGTGAGCCACCCCACCTGGCCCCTGCATGTCTGTCTTAACCATGCCCAGCCAGCCTCTTACACGTACACACACCAGACACTCCAGCTGGTGGAATGTTCGTTTCTCAATTGCCCTGGGCCTTTGCATGTGCTTTTCTCTCTGTGTGGCTCATTCTAGGGTAACAAGCATGTTAGTTAATGCTAGCTGCTGTAACAGACAAACCTGAAGTCCTAAAAGGCTTAATGCAGTTCTTGTTTTCTTGAAATCCAGTCAGTGTCTGGTGGGTAGAGATGCAAAGGCCTAGGCTCCTCCCAACTCCACCCACGCGCGGATCCTTGGATACCGCCCCATTCATCCAGTGAATGGGAAAGGAGACCACAGAAAAGGTCCACCCACTTAACCTCATCAGCTGGCATTCTGTTCACATCTCACTGGCCAGGACCCAGTTACGTGATGACACTGAACTGCAAGGGCGCATGGGAAATGTAGTCTAGCTGTGTGGCCGTGGAGAAAAGGGAACTGTCTTTGGAAATTGGAGACCACACAACAGCTTCTGCCACCAGAGGCCCCTACCCCAATAAGCCTTCCCAATGCCGCTGTCCCCTCCCCAAGGCTGGATCAGGTATTTTCTCTGTGTTTCTGCAAGCCCCAAACAATCCGTTGTCCATCACTGCCCTCACCTCGCAGCTGTGTGTTCCTCTGTCTCCCCAGTTAGGACTGTGAGCCCCGAGCTCTCTGCACGGGGTTATCCTGAACTCTAGTGCTGGAATGCAGGTGCCCAGTAAACACCTGTGGGATGGATCAATTTAAAACTGTCATGGGCCGGGAGCGCTGGCTCACGCCTGTAATCCCAGCACTTTGGGAGGCCAAGGCAGGTGGATCACTTGAGGTCAGGAGTTTGAGACCAGCCTGCCCAAGGTGGTGAAACCCTGTCTCTACTAAAAATACAAAATTAGCCAAGTGTGGTGGCAGGTACCTATAATCCCAGCTACTTGGAAGGCTGA